TCTGTTTCTTTCAAAATCTTGGTGCGTCTTATACTCCGAAAAATATGGTACATTCTCATTTTACCCAGAGGGAGAAGTATCTGCCTCTAGCCAGGATCAAACTCACAGCCTTCTGACCGCGAGGCAAGAGCCTCACCTCTAGGCCACCGCAACGCTCTCTCTTGAAAGAAACAGATTCCTCCTGGAAAATGCCAGGCGGTCCCAGGCTCACCTGATCATCTTCTCCTTCCCCCAGTAAGACATCTTCTGCCAGCTTCTGCCTTTGCGATTCCTGATTTTGCATCTGATTCTGGGATGTGTCCGAGTGGACGGCATTCGCCTCATCCAAGATGGCTGACCCTTTTCTTTCTCTGCTATTCCCACCAGCCTGGAAGGCGAGAGAAGCCTGGGGAGCCATTTCGGGGCCTACCACATCCAGTTCACCCATTTTCTCTTCCTGCTTCAGCCTCTCTCTCAACTCTGGGCTGGTAGGCAAAGAGTCTCCTTGCTTGGTCTTCATCTTCAGGACCAACACAGCTGGAATTTGGAGAAGCGAGAAGCCCAGAGGGTCAAGTTCTTGATTCTACAAAGTCAGTGGATTGTTGTTTAGTAACACACCGCCTGAAGGACACGGTCACCGAAGAGGCAAGATGGGCTGATTTCCAGCTAGCCAGAAGATCTTTCCTTACCTGAAAGAGGAAAAAAAATACCATAATAGCTTGACACAGATAAGCTAATCTTGTACAGGTGGTCCTTGACTTAGAACGCTTCAGTTAATGGTGATTCAAAGTCACGGCGGCACTGAAAGGAGGGACTTGTGGCCGTTTTTTAACACGGACGACCGTCCCAGCATCCCCGAAGTCACATGATCAAAATTCAGAAACTTGGCAACCGACTCGTATTTATGACAGAGAGCAGCATCCTGGAGTTACGTGGTAAATTTTTACGACCTTCTGACAAGTAAAGTCAATGGGGAAGCCAGATTCATGTTCCTGAACGGCTCAAGGTTGAGATCCATCCTTCCGAGATCGGTAAAATGTTGCGGGTGGAGGTGGAGGCCATAGGCTAACTCTGTAAACCGCTTAGAGAGGACTGTGAAGCGGTATATAAGTCTAAGGGCTACTGCTATTGCTACTAGCTTAACGACTGCAGGGATTCACTTAACAACCGTGGCAACAAGTATCATAAAATGGGGCAACATTTACTTAACAATTGTCTTGCTTAGCAACAGAAATCCCGGGCTCCTTTGCGAAAGTCGCCAAGATTTGGTTATCACCTTTAAAGCCCTACATGGCCTAGGACCTGGATATCTCCGNAGAGAACATTTCTTAAGAGACACTCGATTTGGAGCGCACCTCCCTCCCGTTAGCCCAGTGCAGCTTTCCCCAAAACCGCTGTCCTCCATATAAGGGGCATTGCAAGTCCTCGAGGTGCAAGTTGGCTATGGACGAGGGGAGGACTAGGCCAGCACAGGTCAAACCACAGGGTTGGAGAAGGCGGTTTAAATATAGTCCTCGATTTACAACCCCGGTCAAGATGGGAATTTCTCCTGTGGTCATAAATCAAGAAGGCATGCGACCACCTCACTAAGTGATGGCAATCCCAGCACTTGCCATCGTTATGTGAAGTCCTCCAGTCCTTATCCAAGGACTCACCCCAATCCAAGCCATTCCCAGAGTTATCCTGTGGTGAGATGGCCGGCCAATAAAATTGGAAAACAAAGAAACTTACAAATCAGCAAACAAATAAATGCCAGGTTTGCTTCCCCCACACCAGCCCCAAGCCTCAGTAAGGTAAAGGATTGCCTACAACTCCCACACAAACCCCTATCTTCCCCCCATTTCTGCTTTGTATGCTGCGCATAACAGAATAAAAGTTTGAAGGGACCTTGGAGGTCTTCTAGTCCAACCCCATTCTGGAGCAGGAGATCCTATACCATTCCAGACCAATGTGGGTTCAATCTCTTCTTGAAAATATCCAGTGATGGAGCGAGAACCCATAACTTCTGGAAGGAAGTTGTTCCGCTGACTAACGTTTCTAACGGTCAGGAAATTTCTCCTTGGTTCTAGGTTGCTTCCCTCCTCAATTAGTTTCCATCCATTGCCTCTTGTCCTGCCCTCAGTTGCTTTGGAGAATAGGTTCGCAAGAGGTCTTTGAGTTGCAGCATTGGGTGAAGTCACAGCCACCCCTACTAGCCACCAAGCAGCGCCATGCCAAGCTGCAGCACCCAGGAAGCCCTGAGCAAGTGCTGCGCCAAGGAAACACGAGCCAACCCTGAGTTAAGCGCTGGTTCTTTCCCACTGGGGCAAAACCACTGGGGAATTCTGGGAGTTGAAGTCCGCACATTCTAAAAGTGCTGAGATTGAGAAACACAGTCTAGACCAGGGGTGTCAAACTCGATTTCATTGAGGGTCATATCAGGGTTACTGCATTTTTTGGAATATAAGATGCACCAAGGTTTTGAAGAGGCATTTTTTTTTAAAAAAAAAAGTTTTTGCACTCTGCAAACCTTCCAAAAAGTGTTTTTTTTTTTT